ATTAAAATAGAAATGTTGGAACAGTGGTGATGAAATAACTCTTAATATCTTACATCTGCATTACCTCACCACATTGTTACTAGTTTCTGAAGTATGTAGTCTTTTTTGTAAGATTTTTTGTATTTATTTCTAGAAAGAGGAGAAGGGAGGAAGAAAGGGAGAGACATCAATTGATTGCCTGTCAAATCGCTGGCCTTTGGGTTTATAGGATGACACCCAACCAACTGAGCCTCACTGGTCAGGGCTGTAGTATTTTTGTTAAGAGGTGTTTGTGGCAAATTCACCCTCAACTTGGCCTACATCCATCTGGACATGTACTTTTCACCTCTTTCACAGTGATTCCCACACCTTGACCTCTTTCTTTTTCTCTATCTGAATTTAGAAAGAAAAAAGAGGTGTTTGTGTCACTAAGATGTATGTAAACTGTACATTTCATATTGACTCTGGGTGATTTGTTTGTTTTGCTAGCTGACTTGTTCTTATCTCTCTGGGTATTAGTTTTAAGTGGACAGTTTTAGGGCAAACAAAAACAAAAACTTTCATCTTTTCTCTATGACTTTCTAAGAATTTCTTAGAAATATTATTTATATTATCAGAATGAAAGACCATAAAGTTCACAAATAATACAGAAGCATCGCCACTATATAGAACCTATGAGGGGAAGGCTGGACTTAATCTCAGCTACCGGTGTCTCGGAGCCTTAATATCTCAGAGGCTGGTGGCAGTAGCTGTAATGTGACCGACCGGAGTGACATCTAGGTGCCAGCACCCAGGCGTAGAATCGAATACAAAAAAATGTATGTTGTCTGTTTTCTTCCCTCTTTAGAGAGGTCAGAGGTCATGAGCTATGACAAATACACTGCTTCACTGAGAAGTTAGTACAACACCGTTATAAAGACAAACCTCAAAAAAGTAGAGATGTTTCGATAGCAGTATAATTGGGCCAATAAACTGTTGTAGTTCCCTGTCAGGGGAGTCCAGTTTTTCGGCATCTCTGGGCCACACATTAAATACGCAGACACTAACGAAGACTGATGAGCAAAAAAAAGGTTTTAAGTAAATTTACAATTTTTTTAAAGATTTTTAATTTATTTATCTTTAGAGGGGAAGGGAAGGAGAGAGGGAGAGAAGCATCAATGTATGGTTGCCTCTCATACATCCCCCGCTGGGAACTGGCCTGCAACCTAGGCATGTACCCTGACTGGGAATCGAACCTCGACCCTCTGGTTCGCAAGCCCGTGCCCAGTCCACTGAGCTACACCAGCCAGAGCAATTTACAGTTTTCTGTCAGGCCACATTCATAGCCGTCCTGGGCAGAATGCAGCCTGTGGGCTGCAAGTTGGACACCCCTGCATAGTAAGGAGGCTAATGGGGAATATTCCTATTTTAAAATGGCCTTTTATTTTTCCCACCTTTAGTCTTCCAACTTTGAAGTACTTTGATCTGTTGGCTCAGATAGTGAACACTGCAGGCTACAATTGCTCAGTAAGCCGACTAATAAAACTTCTCATTTAAATCTACACAGGATTTTCAGTGCCATTTGGGGGTCTGCTATGTCACTGATCAGCTGTTTCCTATTCCCAACAGCAAATATCTAGCACATTGATTCCGTCAGCAAATATTCCTTAGACTCCTCCTCTGTACTAGGCATTGTTCTAAGCTCCAAGGTTATGGCAGTGAACAATAAAGTTGGAAACAACCCTTCCCTTACGGAGCGTACCTTCCACAAGTACTGAACACTGTGCTCGTGTGTGTGTGTTGGCTAAATACGGGCAGTTACTGTGGTTTGCGCAACGACTGCTGTCCCGGTCTGCCTGAAACAGCCCCGGTCGAACACCTGTCTCACTTGCAAAGGGGTCCCAGTTTTAGACAAAAGTATATGGCCATCCTAGTTCTAAACCTTTTAAGTATATTAATTCATTTAATCCTCATAATAATCTCACGAGGTACATAAGATTATTAGCATCGTTATGCAGGTAATGAAACTGAAGCATAGAGAAGGTGAGTAATTTGCCCTCCGTCATGTAGTAAGTGGCAGAACCAGAATCCAAACCCAGGCAGCAGCCTGGTTTCAGAGTTCGTGCTTCAGTCCCTAGGTTACACTGCCCCTAGACTGCTATTGTAAGTCTTTCTGTTCTTCTCTGCTTGTCTGCCTTCTCCTCCCCAGCGAAGTAAAGTAGGCGATCTCATTTCCTTCACAGATAAATTTGTGACTCTGCGAAGTAAACTCCTTCAACTTGCTAAACCCCCTTTTAAAATGTCTTCATTTCTACTCAGCCTCACTTTACCCCTCCATTTCAAGGAAAGGGGGGTCATCCCTCTTCCTGTCTAAAACTTGTGTATCTGCCTCATCCCGTCCCACCTCCTGGATGACTTTGTTTTCTAAATTATTCCTCTCTTGCCCTGACCAGCTTGGCTCAGTGGGTTGGGCATCATCCTGGAAAGCTAAAGGTCACCGGTTCAATTCCTAGTCAGGGCACAAGCCTGGGTTGCAGGCCAGGTCCTGGCTGGGGGCGTGGGAGAGGCAACCAACCCTCTCTTTCTCCTTCCCTTCTCCTCTCTGAAAATAAATAAATAAAATATATTTTTAAATTATTCTTTTTTTCTTGGGCCTTCAGTCTTCTGCCCTCCACTAGCTTTGCCCAGTCAGCATATAAGCATGATCTGTTATTGTTGCCGAAGGGTATCTTTCAAGAAGCTTTACTGTTGGGAAAAGTTCCTTAAAGCTTAATAATTTAATGATGATAAATCATTAGCCACTTTGACAGATAAAATTAACGATCACAACCCTGTCGCCATGCCGTGTCTTCTTCATTGCTAAATCCGATGGGCACTTTGCACAGCTTTTCTTACTTGATTGCTTTGCAACATTGGACATTTTGGACCATCCCATCATTTCTGAGGCCCCTGGTTTCAGTCACCCTAATGTCTCCCAGTTTCCTGTGCTTCTGGCCATTCCTTTTCTCATATTTCCAAGACTTAACTCATCTTCTCCCAATTCTTTAATTATTGATAGTCTTTTCTATCCTTGGCCCCTCTTATTATTCCCATTAATGCTGTCTCCCAAATCTCAAATTCCATCTTAGAATTCTCCACCGAGCTTCGCACCTATATATCCAATTACCTGTTGCACGCCTCCACCTGGATGCTGCACAGACACCTCAAACTTTGCTTGTCTTAAAACCGAAGTCCTATCCTTTCCCTCTCAAACTTGCTTTTACTTCTCTTCTACACTCTTAGTTTGTGGTGCCTCTCCACCCACTTACCCAAATCAGAAACCAGAGAGGATCCTCAGCGTCTCCCTTACATTTACCTTATAAAACCTTCTCTCCATCCCCATCTCAACCGAGAAAGCTCAGCCCTCATTTTCTCTGACCTGGGATCTTGGTGTGGTCTTTTTACCTCCTGTCATTCTCTTTCCAGCTCCTCTGCACTGGTGCCAAAGTGATGTTTTAAGAATGCCAGTCTGTTTGTTCATGCTTAAATTCCTCCAGTATCTCCTAATTGCCCACAGAATTAAGGTGGAATTCTTTAGCAGGCCTACAAGGCCCTCTGTGGCTAGGCCTTTCCTACTGTTTAGCTCCCATATACCTTGCTCGCCCATCATACTTTCAAGCAAATATTTTTGGAGCCCAGGCTTGCCATGTCCTGTATTGCCGTCTTCTGCCCAGCATGTCCACTATTTCTGTCCGTTCCCTCCTTCCCACCTTGAACATTCAGAAAAGCTATTTCAGCACCCAGTTCTGTCTTCTCTGAATAACCTTTCTTGATTCCACAAATAAATTTGACTATGCCTACTTCCTGACATCATTATACATTGTTTTCAGTTCTACTATAGCAGTTACCACTGTATTATTATTTTCTTGTTTATCCAAGTGCCACCTTTCAGTGGGCTGTGAACTCAAGTATTTTCGCTGTCCGGCATATAATAGACTCTGATCTGATGTGTGGCAGTGATGGAGATGGTGAGCCGAGTGGGCTACAGTTCACTTAAATAAGGACATGCCTTCCATATTGAGAGCTGTTGGGCTTGGACACAAGGAGAATGGTAGACATTTCTTAACTTCCTTTGTCCCCTCTAGAAGCTGCTGCTTCAACCCTATAGTACCTGATCCCTTCATACCTATTTTCAGCTTTCACTTTGCTTTTGTTTTATTTTGCTTGTATCCTTGGAGCAGTTAGAAAGAAAGGAAGCTGTTAAATTATTTTTGCAAACCACCACACTCCCATTTTCATTTCATTACAGGAGAAACCATACATTAGCTTGTCCCCATGTGATTCTTGTGTGCAAAAGAATTCTTTTCTCAGCAGTAAAGAGAATTCATGTTACAATAGCCATACTTTTCAACAGATTTTTAATTTTCCTATGTCCCCAAAATGCTTCCATGCATTTAATGTCAAATTAAAAACTAAACTAGTTCTGTGTTAATCCTGAGAGCAGAAATAATGGTTTTTAAAGGAATAATGACAAATTCTTGGGTTTTTAACATGAAAATTGCAGGTGACCAAAGATCCTGCTGTGTGCATTGGGGTCAAAGGATAGTACAACAGTCAGCATCTCAATTTAGACTTACGCATTACCTTCTGCTCTAAGTACACTTGGAGAAGCTACTTGTGGTGTAACTCCTTATGTATTTAAACTTATCTGACTCTTGGTTTTCTTGGTTTATTTTTTAAGTGGGTGAAGAATCTACTTATGAATTCTTTGTCCTGTACGGAATGTGGTATCTTGGTTTAATTCCATGTATCCCTTCCCTTTTACTTAATTTTATTGTATTATTTTGCATTGTGTTTCTAAAATAATGGCTTTGGCTTGTTTTTTCCTGAATGTTTCTGCAGTTTGGTTTGAGTGTCTGGCTTTGGGCACCCCTCCTGGACTCCCTTTGTACTTGTGGTTTTCGGAAAGCAGAAGTCAGTGTTTCCTATGGAAAATGACTCTTTTTTGTTAATATTGTGTATGTGTGTCTCTCCCCTTTTTCCTTTTTGGTTTCTCTTAAAAGACTGGAAAGAAAGCAGTTAAGGCGGTTCTGTGGGTATCAGCAGATGGACTCCGAGTTGTGGATGAAAAAACGAAGGTAAAACTTTCATAAGCTTAAACATAACTACTCATGTTTTTCTGATCCCTAATGAGCCAATATAATGCCATTAAGCAGTTGTAGCCACTCTGTACCCTTTCACTTCCAGTTTAGAGAGAGGAAGGGGGTGGGGACAAACAGTGATTTATTGCATTTATTGGTTACTTCTTGGTAGAACCTGCATCCTTGGCCTATCAGGAAGATGCTCTGACCAGCTGAGCCACCTGGCCGGGGCTTTGTATCTTTCCACTTTGTCCAAAGTACAATCTTCTCAGACTAGTTAGTGTTGAGGAAACCAATTTAGTTACTCATTTACCTGGTAAAAAATAGAACTCTCTCAACATTTTGCTGTACATGACACAGCATGTTTAGCCTACCAAGCATTGTCATTTAATGTTAAGATCTGAGGTCTGTTTTTGTTGTTATATATTTTTAAGAAATGTTTATTCCCCACAGATGTAAAAAACGATGCAAAAGATGAACCTTTTACCACAGTTAAATTTTTTTTAAAAAATGATAGACCACACTTGAAACTTCTTGTTCCTTAATAAAACACTATTTTTGAAAGTGATATTTGAACTGATTAACCTGTTATGTAACTGAAAGCCCAATTCAAATGAAATCTTGAGGACTTGTAAATGGCTCATTTAGCTGAAATTTACTTAGCATTCACACAATATATCAAATCATAGGTAACGTTTTGCCTTAGAAAGAAAGGCATCCTCCATGCCTCAATAAGAACAGAGACCGATTCCTCCCTTAGAGAACATATGGTGTTATGTAAGTACATTAATCATTAATTTAAATTTCCTAAGAGACCTTAAAGTCTGGAGAAATTTTAACAGGACAGCAGTTTTTCAAAAAAACCTCAAATGTTGCTGGACCTAGGAGAGAGTCTGTCAGGTAAAGAGCAGTTTGATGGGTAACTTGTCTGATATATTTTACGTGATTTAATACAAGGGAGAAACCCCCTGCCCCTGCCAAGAAAAACCAGAATTATCTTTTGGAGGGCAGGCCCCTTGTAGTACAGGCTTCCCCTGCTAGGTGAGTGTTCTAGGAACCCATCTGTGTTAGTGTACCAGCTGGTGTTGTTGTGAGAGGCTGCGTTCAGCTTCCAGTGCATTTGCCTGTTTCATGATGGGCAGTTTATGAGTGCACCTGCCCACACTGTGCTGATTGTTCGGCAGTTTTTGACCAAAAGTGGCGTGACCCTCATGCCCTCCCCCCATTCACCTGATCTTGCCCCAAGTGACTTTTTCGTTTCGCCGAATGAAAGAAGTCCTCAAAGGCAAACGTTTTGCTGATGTGGAAGAAGTGAAACAAAACAAAAAAAACAGCAGAAGCACTAAAAGGCATCAAAATCGACGAGTTCAAAAACTGTTTTGAGCAGTGGAAAAAAATGCCTGTAATAAATGTATTACATCAACTGGAGAGTCCTTTGAAGGTGACTGACGTTTAAACATGTAAGAATAAATACACAATATTTTATAAATAAATTCCAGGAAAGGATTTTTGGTCCCCCCTAGTATAGCTGCATTTCAGTTATTTTGATCTTCCATCTACAGCTTTTTCTTTTAAGTTCAAGAGAGTGGTAGTGTTAAACGTACATGACCCTTGGAAGCAACGATCATTTTATTTAGATTATTTTTAAGAACTTGGGCAGTCTCCATAAGTGTTTTGGTTAAAATTTGTATGTACAATAGTGAAAAAGTGATGTTTCCCTCTGGTGGCTGCTTCTAACACTGGCAGTAATTAGTTCTTTCCACCCAGAGTATTACAGTAATTGGTGGGTTGTCACTCTTGGACCCATTATGGGTGGAAAAGAAGTTTTGCACTGTGTACAGTCTATGAATGGCTCATATTTAGAATATGTAAACAACTCCTACACATCAATAAGAAAATCACAGCCAACACAAAAGACAATCACTTTGCTAAAGAGGAAATTTGTAGTAATCAAGGCTATGCAAAATAAAATCACAGTCTGCAGAATTGCAACATTTAAGTATTATATGGAAATTGTATTAAGTATATTGATTTCAACATATTATAAATTAATTAAACATGAACCTATTATGATAAAATTAGCATCAGCAAGCATATGATTTAGAACATGAAAATGGCCCTGGCTGGTGTGGCCGGAGTACCACCCAGCGAACCAAAAGGTCGCCAGTTCAAATTCCAGTCGGGGCACATGCCTGGGTTGCAGACCAGGTCCCAGCTGGGGGCCTGGGTTGGGGGCATGAGAGAGGCAGCCAATTAATGTTTTTCTCTCTCTTCCCCCATCCCTACCCCTCTCTCTAAAAAATAAATAAAATCCTAAAACCATGAAGATGAAGCAAGGGAAAGGGCCTCATGGGATCTCTCTTAGGTCAAATTCTTTTTTTTTAGGGGACTTCATAATACTTTATTTTACAGCTCCCCCTTTCCCTGTTCACAATCATCTGAGAATCCCAGGAGATTACTCAGGCCAAAGAATCTAGCCCTGTTCCCATACTCCTTTTGGAGCAAGGTTCTCAGCTCTGGCGGCACATTTGAAATCATCTTGGGTCAAATTTTGAGTATTCAGACCTCTGGCCTCAGATCCAGCTCTTCCATGGGCTCGATGCGTCAGATACAGGGGATTTTGTATTGCAAAATGAACATTCTGTGTTTCATCTGAGAAGCTTGAATGACCTCCTAAGTCCTCTGTTCCTTTTTGCTTCCCTTTTTCTAGGACCTCATAGTTGACCAGACAATAGAAAAAGTTTCTTTCTGTGCTCCAGATCGGAACTTTGATAGAGCCTTCTCTTACATATGTCGTGATGGCACCACTCGGCGCTGGATCTGTCACTGCTTCATGGCTGTCAAGGACACGGTGAGTTCAGCATGGATTTCATCATGACTAGCCTCAGCTAGCCAAGCTCCTTCCGGGTTGGCTCAGTCAGCAATTTCCACTACATTTTTGACAAGTACCTGCTGTTACAGCCCTTACAAGTGGCTAAACTAGCCCACTTCCATTCCTTTTACTCAAGTAATCCACACTCTTGGTGTGACCCTGCAACTCATGGTGCAAGATGGTTAGCCAAGATCCAAGGTCATGAAAGGAAAGTAGGAGTATTCCGGTGAGGGTGACTGCTAAACTTTATTTGAAACTTTTCATTTTTAGAACTGTTTTCAAGATTCTTACATGTATTCGTTTGCTAAGACATCTGGGTAGAAGATATTGACCATTGAAAAGTGCTTATAAATTTATTTGCAAAGAGACTGTACTACAAATAAAAGAACTAAGTTGGAGTATATTTTCAATTAATTAAAACAACAGAAATACCAAATTATGATATAATGGAGTATGCTGGAAATTGTTGCATAATAGAAATGTCCGGTTTTGTTTAAAAATTGAGAATAACCTAATATCTTTTATGTACATTACCCAAAATTCTCACATGAAAGACAAGTGTCTTACAGGGTCGTCATCTTCCCTGTAATTATAGTGTGGCACTGAGTGTATAATTTCTGATTTTTTAAAAGTCCAGGTGGAATAAGGCAGCATAGCCATTCCTGAAGGCTTCAACCCAATAAACTCCTACCAGAGTTTAACCTGAAAGGGAAGTGGTGACCATACTCTGAAATTGACTAGAAGGTTTTTTTACGTTCTTGGAGACAGTGGTATAAACAAATATTAGGTGCTCAGGCTCTGAGTCAGGCCCGGGTTCCAGACCCGATTCTGGTTGTCACTAGCTGTGGTATTTTCAGCAAGTTACTTAACATTCTCTCAGTCTTAGTGTCCACTTCTAGGAGATGGAGGTAACAGTTGCAAAAACTAATTTAGACCATAAATATAAGCACTCTTAGCATAGGGTCTGGGCCGTGGGAAGTGCTCCAAAATACTGTCTATGATCAGTAAAGCTGTTTGTTTCTCCAGCTGGTCTAGGGTGGTGCTTGAGTAGGGATTTGTCTTCAATAACTTCTGCCCCAAACCTAAAGAGAGAGAATAACCGTCCTTGGCCCATAGCTCTGTCCTTGTAGTGGAGCTGGGTGCCGGTGCAGACGGGGTCTGAGGCTCTTTCAGCACTCCTCCTGTGTCATGCTGTGGTGCCTGCCCTTCTGTCACCCTACTGCAAAGTTGGATGCAACCTCATGTGGGTCCAGAAAGAGTGAGTCAGTCAGTCTTTTAAGCAGCGATGTGAAATCTTACAGTTCGTAGTCATGTGAAATCTTAGGGACAAGAAGCATTTCAAACATTACCTCTCCTTATGATATCTGACACTGGCATGTGAAGTCCAGTTAAGTTACTTGCTCACAGCCATATGGAGGAGCAGATACCTCCATGGTTTGATGGTGAACACCCCACAAAGTGTTCCCTATTGTTAAATAGATGTCTTCTTAGTAATAGTGATGCCAATAGTTATTACATCATCTCTAACTTAAAAAAATACTGATTTGAGAGAGAGAAAAAAACATCGATTTGTTGTCCTACTGATTTATGCATTCGTTGATTGAGTCTTGTATGTGCCTTGACTAGGGATCAAACCTGCAGCCTTGGCATATCAACATGACATTATGACCAACTGAGCTACCCAGCCAGGACCCATCCGTGACTTTTTATTCCACATTAGGGATATGGTCTACAATACAAATAATGTTCAATGGAATATTATGCAGCAGTAAAAAAAAGAATGAAATCTTGCCATTTGTGGCATCATGGATAGACCTGGGGGTGTCGTGCTGGTGAACTAAGTCAGAGGAAGACAAATACTGTACGGTGTCGCTTACATGTGCACTAAAAAACAAGCAAGCAAAGAACAAAACAAGAGCAGATTCAGAGAAACAGAGACCAAAGGTGACCCTTAGTGAGGGGCGGGGGACGCAGGAAAGGTGAAGGGGAACAGAGTCAGTAATATTGTGATAAGGTGCACAGTGAAGATAATTACCGGAGTTAGTGTGGTGATCACATTGTAAGGTGTGAAAATGCTGAATCACTATATTGTACACCTGAACTAGTATAACTAATATAATGATGTATGCCAACTATACTTAAGTTTAATAAATAAAGTGGGCAATATAGAGGAAAATAAAATATAAATAAACCTGGCAAAAATAATTCATTGAATTTATTAAATTTGCTTGCGGTAATCCAGTCCAGTATGTCTTTAAAACATTATTTATTTTATATAAGCCTCCTTCTCCTTCCACAGATAATCTGTTTTATCTTTTTAAATATTTTATTTATTTATTTTTAGAGAGAGGGGAAGGGAAGGAGAAAGAGAGGGAGAGAACCCACTCTCATGTGTCCCCTATTGGGGACCTGGCCTGCAACCCAGGCACGTGCCCCGACTGGGAATCAAACCGGCGACCCTTTGCTTCACAGGCCTGTGTTCAGTCCACTGAGCTACACCAGCCAGGGCTGTTTTGTCTGTTTAATTCCTGTTTAAGAAGAGTGTGGGTGAAAATGTGCTTTAACTTTTGCTTGTGTGTGGTTGGGAGGTAGAGTCGGGATGAGAGATAGAAAAATATAGGGAAGGTACAGGGGGAAGCCTTTTAAAAGCCCTGTGGGTCTAGAATAGGGAATGGTGCTCAGAGGGGAGAGTGTTCAGAAAGGGGAAGTTGAGAGAGCTAAGCTTTCATTTGCTTGATCCCCTTTTAATTGCTGGAGTTGTCTATTGGAAATTTCAAGTTTGCACCTTTTGTTCCTAGACACATTGATGGTGTATTTAAGCTCCTGAAATTTGCCCTGCCTTTCCAGTGGTTCTTAGAAATGCTTGGTAAACATCCCCACTACCCTAAATGGCAAACAGAGATTTGCATTTCAAGACTTAGGGTTTGGAAGCTTCAACAGTGTCTCCTAGGCTGGTATCCAGAGCTTCAGTGACAGAGGGAGCCTGGCCAATGAGAAGGTCTCAGTGGCTGCTCACAAATCAGAGGCTGTTGGTGGTCACTTTGCTCAATGCCTGCTACAGTAAAGTATCATAAGCATTGCCAAAATAATTTATTCATTTAAGTTCATTTGGCATATTAGTATACTAAAATCCAATTTAAGCTGGAGTTCCCAACATTTTGCCTTGTATAAAATCAGACTTTTGTGGTCCAAGCTCTTTTGTAATTGTTGGTACTGTAACTCTAAAAACACTTTTGTGAACTTTCTATTATGTACAGGGTGAGAGACTGAGCCACGCAGTAGGTTGTGCTTTTGCGGCCTGCTTAGAACGTAAGCAGAAGAGGGAGAAGGAATGTGGAGTGACTGCTACTTTTGATGCCAGTCGGACCACTTTTACAAGAGAAGGATCATTCCGTGTCACAACAGCTACTGAGCAAGCAGAAAGAGAGGAGATTATGAAGCAAATCCAAGATTCCAAGAAAGGTACAGTCTGTTCTACAGTAGTGCGTGTTTATTTAAGCAGTTTTCTCCAGTAGGTTAATATTTTGAAGCTATCAGGGCTAAGCTTGCTCACAAAGAGAACTCTTATAAGACCTTCAAGAACAAAGCTTAAAATTTAAACAAGTCCTCTCCTTTAGAGTGGCTTGTTTAGTGACTTTGAAACCGTTTGCCCTTGTTATAATGTTACAGTATCTGGGGAAGCTGAGAGTGTAGTTAAATAAGCTGCAAAGACATTACACCCCATGTTTAAAAACAAAATTGGGAGAATCCACTTCCTGGAGCAGAGTTCTAATTCTGATGCATCTGAGCTGGGAGAAGCAGCTGCTATCAGGGACCTACATCTTACAGGAAGAAGTACAGATCCCAGGTTTAGGCTGCAAAGGACCCCCTGCCGTGATGCTGGGTGCAAATGCAGGCAGAGATTTCCCAGTGATACTGTTATTACTAGATTATAACTGTGTATTAGTGCTTTAGTGGGAAAAAAAGTTCACAGATTTTGAGAAGGCAGCCCCTCACTTCGCCCTGTTAATTTTAGTGTGTGATTTTTGTAGAACGTGAGTTTTTCAGGTACATATGGCAGCATAGCAGAAATGCCTGTGCAAGCATTCAAGTAACTCAGAAGGCTATTGCCTAAGTTGGGTTAGGTGTGTTTTTGAACTAAGTGATAGGGCTTAGGGGAAATGCTTTGCATTTTTGTGTATAGCTGGGGTTGAAATAAACGAGTATTTTGGAATTAAGGAGTTCAGTTTAAATATACATTAACATAATTTTGTTAATTTTTTACTATATTCTTTCACTTCTAAACCAGCCACCTGGGGCAATATCATTAAAAATGACCCAAACAGCCCTGGCTGGTGTGGCTCAGTGGACTGAGCGCCAGCATGCAAACCAAAGGGTTGCTGGTTCAATTCCCAGTCAGGGCACATGCCTGGGTTGCAGTCCAGGTCCCCAGTAGGGGGCGTGCAAGAGGCAACCACACATTGATATTTCTCTCCCTGTCTGTCTCCCTCTCTTTTCCTGTCTATAAATAAATAAATGAATCTTAAAAAAAAGAAAATAATGATCCAAACAGCTCTAATTCTTAAGTCAAAAAAAGAAGATACATGTTTTTATTAGAAATTAAATTATTGGGATTTTTTTCATTTCTTATAAACATTTGTGCCAGGATAGCAAAGGATAAAAAACACCACACCATTTTTTTATTAGAAAACTTAGTCTGTACAGCTATTACTTAGTGTGTTTCAGGGACTTTCTGACTGGACCTGTATTCTCCAAAACCACCAAATAGTACCTGTGCCACACATAGCACCTACCAAAGTGGTTGTGTCCCAACAACTGCCGAGGACCGTGAGAAGGGAGAGCTCAAGACCGTCCACGTTCAAATTGGGGCCTAGCCGGCACTCAAACGGGAACAGTCTTCTATTTAGGTTTATTCCCATCGACAATTTTACTTCTGTATGTTTTTACTCACATGAGCCACAATGCATATTCTCCATGATTGAAAGGCTGCTTTGGGACATTCTTTAACATCTAATCAAACTTATGCTCATGTAGTCATTTCTGACTGCCATTCCCAAAGTCCTTTCCCCCAGACAAATAAGCAAGCCAACACTGGAAAGCATAAACCATCATTCTTTAAAGGACCTCACATTAGTTCATACCTACTGTTTTTTTAAATCTTGTTCAAAGTCTTAAATTATGAATTGCTGCATGAGAATCAAAGATCTAATATTTGTGTCATAGTAGATACACCGTGTGACACATAGGAGATTAAACTTTTTATTTGTTTGAAAAATAGATCTGAGCTCTGCTTCTAACCTGCCTTTTAAGAGACAGTGGGAAGGAAATACGGGTAAAAGGCCTTAGGACGGTTTTTCATTTTCTTGGCTGTGTAAGCTCAAATTATTTGAAGACATTGCTAAGGTCTCTTTCTCTTGACTTTCTTGAGCTGAAACAGATAAGACAGCTGGGGGTTCTTCGGGGGCCCCTGGCAGCACTGCCCCATCCCCGTCGTCCCCCACCTCTCCCACTTCGGACGCCACTGCCGGTCTGGAGACCAACAACCCTCACGCCATCCCCCGCCGCCACGCGCCAATCGAACAACTTGCTCGCCAAGGTTCCTTCCGAGGATTTCCTGCTCTTAGCCAGAAGATGTCACCCTTCAAACGCCAGCTCTCCCTGCGTGTCAACGACTTGCCTTCCACTATGCAGAGGAAGACTGATTTCCCCATTAAAAATGCAGGTAACGCGGCTTCCGCCTCACTCACTGCGCACTCTGGCAGTGAGACACCATCGTCACTTCCAGTGGAAACACTAATCCTACCACACCATCCCCCGCCCAGGCTGGTTCATGGTTATATGTATCTTGTATCATTTCCCTTGGGAGAAAACTGAGGTGCATGGAGGGAGACGTGAATCATTCATTTCTCTTCAACAGACAGGTAGCAGAGCCCTGGTGGAAATTCCTAGCCTGAGCTATAAGGCTTGTGGTTTGTCCTGATGGAAGTGTACTTACTAACTCTCAGCCAGCCTGCTTCCAAACATCAAGGGTCTCGAGTTTCCATTCTTATTCTGCCACTTGGGACCCAGAAGGGAATTAATTAGAAAGGCTTTGGAAACACATCCAGTTAAATAGCATTACTGTCAGATGTACCAGAAGAAATGGATAAGTGCTCATTGTCCTGTGGCTGGTTGGCTCCATAGGGAGGAAACTCTAAACTGGCCTCCTGCATAAATCTAAGATCTGTTGTTCATCAGAGACAGTGGGCTTGCTCACACATATTCATTACCTTTCAGAACTGCCACACAGCCCTTTGTGTGGCCTCTGTACAGCTGAGCCAGCCCCGGTAGCTTTATCCTCATCATAAGATCCGGAGCTAAAGTGTCAGATCTGGTCAGTGCTTTTATCGGACTCTATTTTACTTCACTCCGAGACACATCTAGCCAGGGCTGCAACAGAACGTGAGGAAGCTCTGTCTCAATAGGGGCACTCTCACAGGTAGTGGTGTAAAGAGTTCAGAGAGTTAAGTTCTTTTGACGGATGAAACGAGGCCTAAACAACAGTTGACAAGACGATTACCGAGGGTTGTGCCAGCTCTCAACTCCTATAAAAACAAACTCCAGGTGCTTCAAGTGCCTGTTTTCAGGAGCAGATGGGAAACAAAAACTATCATTCTCTTTGCACTGTCGAGCAAACAAAGGTTCGGGACACATAATTATCTTCCTCAGTGACAGTATCTCAGAGTCAGTGTTAAGAACAAAGCCTCAGGAGTCCTGGACCTCAGTTCGCTTTTTCATGTTACCACAGTTCCTATGAGGTTCTTCAGTGCTTTGGAGGAAAATGAGAGTGATGCCATTGTTGTTGCTTATCACAGGGAAGGGGACTGAGCACCCACTGGTGCCCTCGACTTGATCCCATTTTCTGATAGTTGCTAAATAGCTTCAGAATGTAACTCGGACCACAGCCTTATGAACTGGTTGGAAGACAAACAGGTTGCTCATGTCTTCCGGGAAGATATAGCTAACTGAATATCTTGGCCCAAAAAGAACACCAGCTTCTCAACAGTGTCACCCAGGAGAGGAGATAACGAAATCTTGGGGTTTGCAAGGCATGAAGATAGTCCTTAGTACATGAATTGCTGGCATTTTATACCTTCTCATCTGAAAAGTCAGTGAAACAGAGCCAGCAAATATTTTGAAGCTGTTTTTATAGCCTCACCTGACTATTGAGACTTCTCCTTTCACAAGCAAGGGATGCTGTATAAAATGCCACCTTGTATCATACTGTTCTATTTCAGGGTTATTTGGTTTTTCTTTCTGGAGCCATTTTCTGCTTGTCTTGCAGTGCCAGAAGTTGAAGGGGAAGCAGAGAGTATCAGCTCCCTGTGCTCACAGATCACCAATGCCTTCAGCACACCCTCCGAAGATCCCTTCTCGTCCGCGCCAATGACCAAACCGGTGACAGCAGCAGCACCACAATCTCCTGCCTTTCAAGGTTAGTGCCCTCTTAGCCTGCTCAGCAGTTCTCTTTGAAAGCAGTACTTTTATGATGCTGCTCTCTAACTGTAAGTTGGCATCCCGAGCTTCCAAGAGCTGGTCTGACCCACTCATTTCCCTGTTTGATAATGTCTCAGGTCGATTCATTTCTCTGTGTGACAGTGTCCTTGTGCTTCATTGCCCTTTGTGTTTCCTAGGATGTCTGCATTCATCATCTTGCACGTACCTCCCTATCTTTCACCCCATTCTGTTAGGAGCATCTATCGTCCCCACCCCTGCTTCCTTTGCTGCTTCACTATTCTGAGTCAGCACATCCAGCCAGTTCTTCAGCAGCACAGCCGTTCGCGTTTGTTCTGGTGCTACACTTGTTCTAGCATGGTGGTTTTCAACCCAGGGTGACTTTGCCCCTTGAGGAAAATTGGGCATTTATTGTCTGGAGACATTTTGGGGTTTCACAGCTTGGTAAGAGTGATTGCTACTGGCACCTTTGTAGAGGCCAGGAGTGCTGTAATACCAAACATCCTTCAATGCCCAGACTGGCCACCCTCACAACAGAGGATTTTTCTGCCCAAATTATCAGTAGTGCCAAGGTTGAGAAGCCCTGGACTCCTCTAGTCTCCAGCCTGTCTCAAGAAGCTCATGAAGAAAAAGGTACTTCTTCAGGTCCTTTAGTTCATTCACGGTGCTTATCTTCAGTAAGTACCCTAAAATGTGACTCCGTGGCATTGAAGAGTCACTAAAAGTTGTTTTCAGAAATACTGAGTTAACAGTTGGTGTTGACTCAGAGGTAAGCTAGAGTCTGTATAACTTAAATTACAGACTTTTAGAATTTGAGCTCCTGGAACTGCCATTCCTTCATTTCTTTTGAGCGAGAGCTCAGAGAAAGCTTTGCTGTGGAGACAGTACCCCATTCCTTTTGGAGTGAGACAGTACCCCATTCCTTTTGGAGTGAGACAGTACATGCTTTTCCTCAAGGGGTTTCTTTAAAAAAAAAAAGTCTTCCAGAGGCGTCCAACCTGCGGCCTGTGGGCTGCACACAGCCCATCCTGGGCTGCAAATGTGGCCCAACACGAAATCATAAATTTGCTCAAAACATGATGAGATTTTTTGTGATTCTGTGTCACAGTGTATTTAGTGTGTAGCCCAAGACCAGGCTTCCTCTTCCAGAACGGCCTGAGGTGCCATAGGCTGGACACCCCGCATGGTCCTGTGCGCCAAACAGCTTTTCGTTCCATCTGACAAGTATTTATAGTACCAGTAATAATAGGCACAATACGTTGAGCACTTAGTGGCTCCTGCCACTTCACGGTAAGGACCCAGGCTTGTTCCTGTCTCAGTTAATCCCCACACCAGCCTGTGGGGTACGCATTACAGATAAAAAAAATGAGGCTCAGGGAGGTTGAGTAAATTGCCCAAATGCACCACCAGGATTTAAACCCAGGTCTTACTGAATATAATACCTGTTACATTTTCCTGACTGTTTGCCTATTCACAAGGCAAGGGGTGTGAGACTGAATAGATCATAGTCCTTTCCCTGCCTTTAAGGGGCTCCCAGTGGAAGGGTGAGCTAGTCTTTTAGACAAGCCCTGGGAAGAGAGTACCTGTGCCCTAGTGCGGTTGCCCGGTCCTGAAGAGGGCAGCGGAAGGTGCGTGCCTCTCTGTCCCCCACTGAACATGACTGCTGGGCCAAGGGCCAGAAACTGATGGACTAGATGCCTACATAAAGGAGCAGGGTCAGGAGACTTTGAAAAAGAGAGACAAGGAAAGAATAGTAGCTTCTCTGAGATATTATAAACATTACCAAGAGGCAAATACCTTCCAAAAAAAGGAGATGAAATTAATTCTGTGACCAATTACAACTTTATTTAGCAAATGAAAACATACACCAAGTTTGATTTATCATCTGTAATACAGAGATAATCCACTCTTACTAGGTTTTTGAGAGAATGAAATGAGATAAGGCACACTAAAGTATTAACATAGTGTCTAGCATGTAATACAGAATCATCATATTTATCTCATTGTTGTTGTTGTTGCCATAATTTGATCTTTTGGAAAAGAGGTAGGAGAGGGAAATGCTTTATCTACATTGCTATGCCAAAGGCTAAGATACAGCGAAAAGAGTTAGCTTTTTGCTGCTTGTAAGACAAAGCAGCTCTGTTCAGTTTAGTTCGAAATTGTTTTTCTAGGCTTCGTTTTCTCTTTCCTCATACACATAGTTTCCTTGAACAGTCATATGACTTTTTCAGTATAGCCATTTTAATTACAACCTCTGATTCTTCCTTTGCCAGAAGGTTTGTGTATTCATTACAGGATGGTATGGTTATCCCAGCACCAACTTGTCTTTCTGTTCCACTAGTATTGCACATCGGCCTGACTGACCCAGCCCCAAGGGGTCACCTGTACACCCTGCATGAATTAACTCCATTGATGTTGTCTGCTCCCATTGTAGCTAATGGCACTGACTCAGCCTTCCATGTGCTTGCTGCTAAGCCAGCCCATACTGCTCTAGCACCCGTAGCAATGCCTGTGCGTGAAACCAACCCTTGGGCCCATGCCCTTGATGCTGATAACAAGGGAATTGCAGCCACACATTCCGGTAAGGTGGCCACAAATGGTGGTGAGGATTCTGGGATCAGATAAGCAACCCTGGTTTGAAAATCAGCCATTTACTGAGTGGGTAATCAGGAAGGAGTCCTTTTAGGAAGTGTATGTTCCCTCCTGGAAATACACGGCTATTAAGAAAGGATAGGGAAGGAGAAGGAAGTAAAGAGGTTAAGCTAATAGTTCTGAAGACTATCAAACAGAACTACCCATGGAACTTCCATAAAACACAGATTCCTGAGGCCTGCCCTGAGGGAGTCTGTCACTGGGTTTGGAGATACGTAGATAGGCCTTTAGGATGAGGGGCCCTGCCTCCTACAAGAGCTATAAAAAGCACTTTGTTTTTGCTTTTCTGTACCTTCAAGTTTTTCTATAATGAAAATTTAACCATGAAACCAAAAGACTGTAAATAGTAATAAAGGCAGTTCACCAGCAAGACGTGCGTGTGGAAGCCAGGCCAGGGCCACAGGCGCAGCACCGAGTCACGAATTGTTTCCTTTCTGGCCTCTCAGAGCAGGAGGGGGTTCCCCTGGAGCCCCTTGGAGCATGCGCGGGGGGGTGTCTGTACCACGGATCAGCTCCAGCAGAGGGGAGGGATTTCTCCTGCCCGCCAGCTGCCTTGGTTGCAGTTGAGCCACATCTAGACAGCTCCTCTGTGTGGCTGGGACACAGCATGGTCGGACAGGTTCTTTGTCCTTCCACAAACCCGCCTCAGCTACTACTGAAACAGCCCAGTAGAAGGATCTGTCCCACTAGTTAGGATCATTCAAACAACCAAGGTTAGCAGGTGAGGAAAGCAGCCCCCAAAGACTGATTCTTTTGTCTCTCTTCATGTCGTTGGTTCCAGGGACCGAGTGGGGTCAATCTCCTGGTGCTGCCTCTCCAGGTCTCTTCCAGGCTGGGCACAGACGTACTCCCTCTGAGGCTGATCGCTGGTTAGAAGAGGTGTCCAAGAGCATCCGGGCTCAGCAGCCCCCGGCCCCAGCTGTCCCTCTGCAGCCAGTTCTCCAGCAGCCTCCACCCACTGTCATCTCCCAGCCAGCGCCGCCGCCTTTCCAAGGGAACGCATTCCTCACCTCTCAGCCCGTGCCTGGGGGTGTGGTCCCACCCCTGCAGCCAGCCTTTGTCCCTGCCCAGGCCTATCCTGTGGCCAATGGGATGCCCTATCCAGCCCCTAATGTGCCTGTGGTGGGCATCACTCCCTCCCAGATGGTAGCCAATGTGTTTGGCACTGCAGGCCACCCTCAGGCTGCCCACGCCCATCCGTCTCCCAGCCTGGTCAAGCAGCAGACATTCCCTCAGTATGAGACAAGCAGCACTACTGCCAGCCCCTTCTTTAAGCCTCCTGCACAGCACTTCAATGGTTCTTCAGCTTTCAATGGTGTAGACGATGGCAGGCTGGCTTCAGGAGACAAGCACACAGAGGTTCCCACAGGCACCTGCCCGGTGGATCCTTTTGAAGCCCAGTGGGCTGCGTTAGAAAGCAAGTCCAAGCAGCGTACTAACCCTTCCCCTACCAACCCTTTCTCCAGTGACCTACAGAAGACGTTTGAAATTGAACTGTGAGCAGCAGTCCCTATGGCTTACGTATTTTCTCCATACTTAGGCGAGGCGGGGTCGGGTGGAGGTCAGAGCAGACTTTGTGTCCCTGATCAGTACACTTTTCACTAATCCCAAAGGTCCCAAGGAGCATGTCCAAGCACAGAGTGCTGTGCGGGCGATTTTGCAAAAAGTGGAGAAAACCATTCCTAGAAAAGAGCTATCCTAGTTAAGCTAAAGACGTCAAGAAAATGTTCCCCTCTGTCCCCCTCCTCCTGCCTCAGCCCCTTACAAATCTCTGGCAACAGAGAGGCAGACATACCTGAACAGGAATCTGTATTCAAAGCACATTTACTGGAATATAAAACACAACAGGAAGCAAAACGATCTCCCTTTGTTTTTCAGGCCGTGCACCTGCCTCTTATCAGTACTGGCCTGTCTTAAAGGTCAAGAACAGGGCGGCCTGTGCTCAGGCCGGGGACGAGGGGCAGGCGGTGCAGCCGGCATTCCCAGGAGGGCACACCAGCAGCTGCCCAGCAGAGCTATATTTTAGGGGTCAAGTTGAGCTTCCATTTTGAGTAAGAATAAATATTATAAATATATATCAAAAAGCCAAAATCTTTATTTTTATGCATTTAGAATATTTTAAATAGTTCTCGATATTAAAAAGTTGTAAGAGTTGTAAGTAATCTTGCCAAAGGTAAAAGGGTTAACTGTAAGAAATTGTACATAAGATTGATTTATCATTGATGCCTATCGAAGTAAGACGAGGGAAAGCTGGAGGTGCAGGCAGGACCCCCGCTTCCTCGGCATCAGTCAGTGTAAGTAGCTCATTGCAGCCACAATCATGCTTATGGCCCGTACAGTCTCTAGGTTGTAGTTTAAATAAGGCAAATGAAAGACTAGCATTGTCCTGGTTTTAAGCCTATGATGAAATTCTAATGTCATTATTTTAATGGACTCAATCTACATGTGCTCTACAGAGAATCTGTATTTTCCTTCATGTATTGCTGCAGTTCCTTATGTTAATCCCTTAACACTAAGGTGACAATAGTCATATCCACAGACTGGAACGCAGGTTGCCATGTCGGCCTGTCACGTGGGTCTTCCTTGGTGGGTTTTGTTTTATCCTCTAAGTTTTGCCCCCACAGGTTTTGTGGGGATGGAGTTTCTGGTTTATTCGGTGTGTGTGTCTGTGTGTCTGTGTGTCTGTCCTCGTCCCTCCCTCGTGGTGAGCAGACACCGGTTGCCGGTAGCGGCCATTTGACCTCTGGTAACAATGTGAGATCCCATCTCATTTTTACTTTTGAACGTTGGCCTTACAATCAAATGTAAGTTATATATATATATTTGTACTGATGAGAATTTATAATCTGCTTTAACAAAAATAAATGTTCGTGGTAGAAGCTTCTCCCATGAAGGGCTGTTCTTTCCCCTTTTCTTTATTAGCAAATGAGTTGACTTTTAGTTCTTTTGGTCTGGGTCTCTCCATTCTGCTGCTGCAGTTTGGTGACTAGAAAATCTTTTATTGGGAGTAGTATATTCTTAAAGTTCATGTTTGTATTCATTCTTTAGGCTTCAGTTGACCCTAAGTGCATCTCTAACGTCAGATTCCTGCTGCCCAAAGTCTGGTCTGGACAACAGCGTGGACTTCACCAAGGAGCTGGTTAGACATACAGAATCCCGGCCCCACCCCAGTCCGCACAGGCAGAATCTGCATTTGAACAAGAGTCACACTCTGAAGTCCAGGGCTGGAGCAGGATTCTCAGCCTCAGATACGTATCAAAATCCTCATGTCCAGCCCATACTCCAGACCAATTAAATTCCAGTCTCTGGGGACTGGGATCCCAGGTTTTTTAAAAAGGCTCCCGCTAATGAAGAGGGTTGAGAACCAGTGGTTTAGATTCAGCTTGACTCTCACCTCGAACTTCAAGCCCACTTATTCTGTGACTAGTTCTAAGAAGAGCTAACTAACTTCAAACTTACTTTCTGAAAATGTGTCAACAACAGACCAAATACTGGTTTAATTAAAGAACTGGGGAGTCCAAGAAAGTAGCCCTTATTTTCCAATTTCTGTAGCAGAACCAGCCACGGTAAATAGAAGAGGATGCTCCTCAATATTGTTTTTACATAAAAGAAGAAAAGACCTCTGCTCCAGCCCACGTTTCCTTTGCTGAAGGAAGGTAAACCAGGAAGTGTCCCTCACCTGCCAGCATGGTGGCAATTAAAAGAAACCTTTGCCTGTCTTTCCCCGAATAACATCTGTCACTAGGCCCAGCCAGACCTCTGGAGGATTGGTAGAAAGTTCAAGTGGAAAGGGACTCAGAAGCTCACTAAATCCAGGCTTTTTTTTTTTAAGACTTTATTGCTTTATCTTTAGAGGGAAAGGGAAGGAGAGGGAGAGAAATATCAATGTATGGTTGCCTCTTGTGCGTCCCCTGCTGGGAATTAGCCTGCAACCCAGGCATGTGCCCTGACTAGGAATTGAACCATGATCCTTTGGTTCGCAGGCCCACACTCAATCCACTGAGCTACACCCGCCAGGGCTAAATCCAGGCATTTTAGCAGCAAGGAATTGGAGGGTCTGAGATGAGGATTGACTCCTTCCAACTCAAACCATTTCTGAAGTCACTTCCTTATTACTTCATTGCCCTCCCCTCCGTTGATCCCCCCATCTTGCTGGTGCCGTTTCTAACGGTCTGGCTTTTACCTGGCAGCCCACATTTTGCTTCACAGATTCCTACGTGAGGAGGAGAGACTCCTCGTTGGCACAATACAGAGCAGGCCCTTTGATCAGCTCCACACAGGTGGGAGGCGATCCTCACAGCCAGCTCTGCAGGTCCGCCTCAGGAGGAGGGCTTCAGGCCCCAGCTTCCCCACAAAAGTAAGGAGCTCTCCCAGTTTGTTCATTCTCAGAGAATAATGCAGCTGCTCCCCTTTCAGCCCAGATCCTGTGCTGAGCCTCAGTAAATTCCATTTTGCCGAGAGCTTACACAAACATTACGCTGTTAACCGTATGTACAGATGGGTTTGAAGCTGGTTGCTGTTTACTAACTGGAAGGGTGAGAGAGACTAGCGCCATACCCCACTGTGTGACCCCAGATGAGATGTTCTAGCGAAGAATCCTTCCCTGTCACAGCAGGAGTTAGCTGTTAACTTTAAAATCATTATGCACCTTTCTGCCCAGCTTTACATGAAGTGAGAATCCTGGTAGCTTGTTTTAAAGCACAGTGAACTGATCCTGTGTAACAGACATTACAGAGGAAAGTTGTAAAGTAAAGGGTGTCCTTATCCAAACAGATCTCTCTTCTTGACAACTCAGCAGCTAGCTGCAGTCACGTTAGAAATGCAAACACTGGGAGGGACTCAGGGAGGCTGCTGGTATGGCTGCTGCTGAGGCTCAACACTGGCTGCGGCCTGTTGGGGGGGGGGGGGGGGGGGGGTGTCTGTCTCCAGAAGAGAACTTCCTTTGCCCGCCACGGAGGGGAGAGCGAGAGTTTCTGCACGTCTCCCCGGCCCTGGGAGTGGTTGCAGAACTGGGGCTGGAGCCGGCCCTCATCCCTGCTGCCAGACCGGCTGAGCGTGAGGCTGGACACGGGAACAACTGGCGCAGCAGAAGCTGGAGTAGTACTCATTGCCACAGAGCCGCGCCTGCAGGATCAGCTCACAGTTGGCCAGCGCCGGCTGGTCGATGCAGTCCCTGCTGGGGTCCCTCTCCTGGGAGGCCTGAGCTGCAAAACACCAGAGGGGAGAGAGTGGTAAGGAAGCCCTGTGTGCACTGAAATTCTCACCCACCACTTCATTTCCTTGAAGATTCCCTTCACAGAATGCAGTTACTCTAACCTTTCAATGCCTGTATGTACAACTACAAGGAGGGATCGCAGTTTCCACCCATTCTTATTTTCCAATTACAGTTAACATACAATATTACATTACAGTGTTACTGTCTATATTCCCTATACTGTACTTTACATTCCTGTGACTGTAACAGGCAGTTTGTACTTCTTAATCCCTTCCCCCTTTTCCACCCATTCTCCCAAATTCCATCACCTCCGGCAGTCATCAGTCTGTTCTCTAAATCTGAGTTTCTGTTTTGTTTATTTTGTTTTAATTAATTTATTTTTAGAGAGGGGAAGGTGGGGAGAAAGGAAGAGGAAACATCAATGTGTGGTTGCCTCTCATGCGCCCCCTACTGGGGACACAGCCCACAACCCAGGCATGTGCTAGGAATCAAACTGGCAACCCTTTGGTTCACAGGCCAGCACTCAGTCCACTGAGCCATACCAGCCAGGGCAGTAGTTGTATTTTTGAGGAACCTCCATACTGTTTTCCACAGTGGCTGTACCAGTTTACAGTCCCACCAACAGTGCATGAGAGTTCTCTTTTCCCCACATCCTCGCCACCACTTACTGTTTGTTGATTTATTGATAAGCATTCTGACAGGTATGAAGTGATATCTCATTGTGGTTTTAATTTGCATTTTCCTGATTAGTGATGTTGAGCATCTTTTCATATGTCTTGTTGGTCATCTGTATGTCTTCTTTAGAGAACTGTCTGTTCAGGACCTCTGCCTGTTTTTTAATTAGGTTGTTTGGGGTTTTATTGGTGTTAAGTTGTAAGTTGTATGAGTTCCTATATATTCTGGATGTTAACCCTTTATTGGCTGTATCATTGGTGAATATCTCCTCCCACTCAACAGGTTGTCTTTTTGTTTTGTTAATGTTTCCTTTGCTGTGCAAAAACTCTAGTTTGATGTAGTCCCATTTGATTGTTCTTTTGTTTGTCCTGCCTGAGGAGACATATCCAAAAATGTATACATATTACTAAATTACTAAGAGTGATGCCAAAGAGTTTACTGCCCAGTTTCTTCTAGGAGTTTCATGGTTTCAGGTTTCATATTTAAGTGTTTAATACATTTTGGGTTTATTCTCACATATACTGTAGGATAGTAATCCAGTTCCATTTTTCTACATGTATCTGTCCAGTTTCTCCAACACTATTTATCGAAGAAACTGGCTTTACCCCATTGTATGTTCTGGCCTCCTTTGTCATAGGTTAATTGACCATATAGACATGGGTTTATCTCCAGGTTGTCTGTTCTGTTGCATTAATCCATGTGTCTGTTTTTATGCCAGTATCATGCTTTTTTGGTTACTGTAGCCTTGTAGTTTGATATCAGGCAGAGTGAAGAACTTTGTTCTTCTTTCTCAAGATTGCTTTGGCTACTGAGGGTCTTTTGCGGTTCCATATAAATTTTAGGATTATTCTAGTTTTGTGAAAAATGCCGTTGATATTTTGATAGGGGTTGCACTGAATCTGTTGATTGCTTTGGGTAGTATGGACATTTTAACAATGTTAATTCTTTTTACCTTTCAGCATGGTATAGCATTCCATTTATTTGTATCTCCTTTAATTTTTCTTCAATGTCTTCTAGTTTTCAGAATACAGGTCTTTTACCTTCTTGGTTAAAATACCTACCTAGGCATTTTATTCTTTTTGATGCAGTTATAAATTGGATTGTTTTAATGTCTCTTTCTGATAGTTACTGGTGTATTAAAAATGCAACTGACCTCTGAATATGAATTATATATTCTCGCTTATTTACTGAATTTATTAGTTCTAATAATTTTTGGTGGATTCTTTAGGGCTCTCTCTGTATTGTATCATATTATCTGCCAATAATGACAGTTCTGTTTCTTTCTTTCTTGTCTGAATGCTATGGCTTGGACTTCCAATACTATGTTGAATGAAAGTGGTTAAAGTGGGCATCCTTGCGTGGTTCCTGATCTTAAAGAAAAAGCTTTCAGCTTTGCCCTTGAGTATGATGTTGGCTGTGGGTTTGTCATGTGTGGCCTTTATCATGTTTTCTTTCCCACTTTTCTGAGAGGTTTTTTAAATAACAAATTGCTGTTGGATTTCTTTCAAATAATTTTTCTGCATCTATTGATATGACCATATGATTTTTTAAATTAATTTTATGTGGTATGTCACATTCATTTGATTTGCAGATATTGAACCGGCATGCATCCTGAGAATAAGTCCCACTTGATGATCATGTGTGACCATGTGTGACCATGTATGGTCTTTTTAATGTATTGCTGAATTCAGCTTGGTAATATTTTGTTGAGAATTTTTGTATTTATCTTCATCAGGGATAGTGTTCCATAATTTTTTTTTTTAGTGTCTTTTTCTTGTTTTGGTATCAGGGTAATGCTGACCTCATAAAAAAGCGTTTGAGAATCTTACCCCCTCTTTATTCTTTTTTTGGAATAATTGAGAAGGAAGGGTAGTCTTTGAGTGTTTGGTAAAATTCACCTTAAAATCATCTTGTCCATGGCTTTTGTTTGTTGGGAGTTTTGTTTTTTTTTTTAATTACTGACTTGATTTCATGAGCAGTTACATTCTATTCAGATTTT